CCAGGAGGACCTCAGATAAAAAATGGTCCTCAGACAAGTCATGACCCAGTGCCATCTCTCCAAGTCCTGACCTTGTTGTGGCCAGTTTTTGTGCTTTGACTGCTCTCTCATTCACCATCCGAGAAGTGAGACTCAACCATATTGCTCTCCTAGGTCCCCGGAGGGTCTCAGCAGAAAGAAGACGCTTTGGTTTCTCCTCATCCATAAAATCCTGTCCACCCTCCCTGGTGTGTGATCAGCACAGCTCTGCTACAACTTGGGGATCCTAATGCTGCCAGATACACACATGGAGATTTACCCTGGACTACCAGTGGCAATCTTCTTCGTCTGAATCCAAACTCTGCTCTCAGCATGCAAATGCCTTGGCTGGGACTCTGCAGTCCTTATGGCTGATATCATCCCTATTTGCATCGCTGTTTATTTTAATTTACCCAAGAGCCACAACTATCCTCACAGCCCGTTTCTCCTTGCACTCGCTTAATCCTCATCACGGCCATCACCTTCACAAGGATTCCTTTTTGAAGGGCCTTCTGAATTGAAGTCATCTGGCTTGCTTTTCACTTGGCTCCCTAGGAAAGCACAATTTGCATGATCACATTCAGCACATGCCTGCGTCTGTCTGTTTATCTCTTCAAAAACCATGGAGGCTGCTGAGCACAGAGTATGAATTTCTAATAAGTTTTGTGAACCCAGGCGAGCTAGCAAAAGACAAAAATCCCACCAGTGTTTAATGGAAGAATGCACTGAGGGGTGAGCACAAACCTTGCTAGCATCAGAAAAGCCAATTATGGGGAACGTGGTTATTGGGGATCAGGGTCTTTCAGCTGTACCCTGGTGGGAATGGCTTGCAGGGTTTACACAACTTGCTGTTCAAGCATTACAGCATCTCAGAGACGTGACCAATTAACCCTGAAGTAAACTGAGGCAGGATATGGGTATTGTAAAGGTAAGCAGCACAAACGTCTCCTGGTGTTTTCCCTCTATGCTTTATATCTAGGAAGGCCGGTGTGAAGTCACCAGGCAGGTTTTTTAAATTATTATTATTACAAGGCTGGCTGCCGTGGCAGACATAAAAGAGATATCATGTTCATTGCTCATTCCTCGGGCTGCAATGCACATGTTTGAGAGCGAGCAGATCCTGCCGACAAGGAATTTCCAGTCCTGTTAGATTGATAAATGGGTGCTTCCCCACAGAGCCTGCTGTTACGTGTTTCGGCTCTGCCTGCAGTCAGTGCCAGGATGCTTCCCACCAGCACGGCAGGAGGGAGCTTTGCTGGGGCATCTTGGTGGCCTTCCAGGAGGTGACATGGCTTTGTGTGTATCTCAGGGTCTGGAACACAGATCTTATGGGGAGCAGCTGAGGGAACTGGGATGGGTCAGTCTGGAGAGGAGGATGCTCAAGGGGGGACCTTGTGGCTCTCTACAACTGCTTGAAGGCTGGGGCCAGGTGGGGGTTGGCCTCTGCTCCCAGGTAACAGCGATAGGATGAAAGGCAATGGCTTCAAGTTGTGCCAGGCGTGGGTCAGGTTGGGTATTAGGAAGCATTTCTCCTTTGAAAGAACGGTATTGCATTGGCACAGGCTGCCCAAGGAGGTGGTGGAGTCATCATCCCTGGAGGTGTTTCAGGTGCATGGAGATGTGGCACTGAGGGACGTGGTTGAGGGCTGAGCAGTGCCTACATGCCCTGACACTTGTTTGTCTACGCTGCCATCCATTCTGATGCTGGTGGGTTTTCTCACCTCCAGAAGCAAAACTGACTGAAATTCAGCCCCATGCACAGACTCTTTTAATTGCTCATGCTGATTAGAGTGCATTAACCAAGGGCGGATGTAGTGCTAGCCAGCTGCAAAAGAAGAAAAAGCAATGCCCTTCTGTTGGAAAGATGGACATTTCTGATTTGCAACCAGTGAGAAAGTATAAGGTTAAGACACTCAGCAGCAGCTCTATGGCAATGGCAGATGTAGGAAAAACTTTGGTTGTGTATGTGGCCATTTTTCAGCTCAATATAAGGAATAATTCAGATCTCTCACATCTTAGGAGCAACAAAATCATGGTCACCCAATGGGAACACCCGACAAGTGAGGAGGTTTCTGATGCTTTTTTCCACGTGGAGGATGCCAGCCGTGCTGCTAATCTGCTCTTCAGAAGGCACTAACATCTCTTTACATAAGCAAAACTCCACCAGCAGGATGATCAATTCAATCTTTCCTTCTACCTATCTACCTGTGGGTTTTTTTTTTCCCAAGATTTCCCCTTGTTTTTTCATCCTATCTCATCTGCTCCCTTTTTTCCTCCAGCTAATGGAGATATGGGCTAAGGGAAGGCAGAGAAATAGAGCTTTGGGGGCACAAACCGCGCACGAAGGCAGACCTGGGGGTAGCAGCTCTTTTTGATTGATTTTTCACACCAGTCTTGGAAGCAGGATATCGATGAATTTTTGCTACGAACAAGCAGAAAAGAAGTTTTAATTTGTGTCCCCTGATTTTCCTCCTGTGTGAGTTCTAATCTCCCAACCACCAACGGCAAGGTATGGGGACGTTTCTTCTGGTAGATCAGCAGACAGTGTATTTGCAGAGCGAATAGAAGAGTTAAAAATACTGAGAAATAGGAGAGAGGAAGCCAAAATCCTTGGAATAAAGATATGTGAAAACCCATGGGTTGGAGAATTTAACCTTGTAGACGTAGATGACACAAATCTTTCCTGTCCCTCTGCGAGGCAGGCATGACTTGGACACCATGGCCAGGACAGGACAAGGAAAGCTTGGAGCACGCCAAAGGGAAAAACAGAACAAGGCAGATGGATTCGCTCATCTACAAAGGCTTGGCTGGAAATGTAAGAATTTAAATGAACTCTCCAGCAGGAGAAATACTCCAGGCCATCATAACAAGCAGCAGGAGATACAAGTGTGAATTCAGTCCGTCTTTGTCCTGCCAGATTCCAGATGAGGTCAAGCAGAGGGGTGGTGGGTAGGAGGAAGGATGTTACACAGGGTGAGATGGAAGCGTCCTAGGCTACTAAGGGGGAAGCAGAAGATGAAGAGATACGGTGAACATGTAATGCCCTGAGGTGAGGAGACACTTATGACCTGCTCAAACCATTACAATTAGCAATGGGGCCTCGTGGTCTCTGCTGAGATTGCAGTTCTGAGAGCAAGTGGTAGCAAAGCGCTCTGATTTCAAAGCATTTCTGTTTGCTTGGAGGTTCCAGTGTCTTCCAGCTGTGAACCTTACAGTGGTTGAGTCTCCTTTGTAGATCTGGTAGGGTCCAGCAAAGGCAGAAACCATAGAATCATAGGATGTTAAGGTTGGAAAAGACCTCTGATGTCATCAGTCCACCAATATTGCCCACTAACGTGTCCCTCGGTGCCACAACTCCACAGAAGAAAGAATGGATGATGCTGTTTGATTTTCTGTAGTTCCTTTTGTGCTTGCCTCAGGATGGTGGTGGTGATTTCTGTTAAAAAAAAATATATATCCATACAATTGCCAGCTGTGAATGACTTTGGATAGGAGTGTGCCTGTGTGTGCCTGTAATCTCCATCATAACTTCTAGGGGAAAACAGAGAACCTTGTGAAGAGGTTTAGGATGTCTTTGGCATGTCCTTGTGTACAGTCGGATGTGTCTTAATGGAGAGATGGGTTCATGTGCATATAATTTGACTAGCTTAGATAGCAGGGAGGGTCAAGTTTCTTGGCTCATGATCTGTCCCATGGATGGAAAAAGCCACAGGGACTTCTTGTCCTTTCTCTCCTTCTCCTTCTCCTTCTCCTTCTCCTTCTCCTTCTCCTTCTCC